TTTCAATATTCTCTTATCAGCTCTGTTCATATTCTAACCAACAATCCTGCACTCTGTACATATACCCCTCACATTCTCCCCATGTGCATCAGGTGGCACATGCAAGGATGTTCATCCCAGTGTTGTTTGTGTGGGGGGGCATTTGGGGTAGTTTGTGCATCTGTGCCTGGGGAGTGTTGGGCAGCATGTGGATAACATGGTAATAATGAGGAACAGGCCAGATGCACCCAGAGCAAGAGTGATGGAGCTAAAAACACCACACCGTGTGGAGTGGAACACAAGAAAAGATTGAGATAAAGGACAAATTACCATTTACATAAATTAAAACAGTATGCATTCAAAACAGTCATATGCATTTTATAGGGACACATGGAAAAAGAAGCTATTGATAAGCGTGTTAGAATGGCAATGGCTGCCTATATGGCTGGGCACGGTGGTTCATGCCTGTAATTCCAGCACTTTGGGAGGCCGAGGTGGGTGGATCACTCTTGGTCAGGAGTTTGAGAACAGCCTGGGCAACATGGCAAAACCCCATCTCTACAAAAATAGAAAAATTAGCCTGGCGTGGTGGTGGACGCCTGTAATCCCAGTTAATTGGGAGGCTGAGGTACGAGAATCGCTTGAACGGGGAGGTGGAGGTTGGAGTGAGCCAAAATTGCGCCATTGCACTCCAGTCTGGGCGACAAAGTGAGACTTCATCTATGGAAAAAAAAAATGGCTGCCTATGGATAGTGGGTTGGCCATGCAAGTGTGGAAGAGGGAATAAGCAAAACGAACAAACAACAAACAAACAAATGAACAAACCAGGAGAGAGGCCTTGAAAGTGCTAATGATGACAATATGCCGTTACTGAAGAGTATGGTCAAGTTAACCCTCTGCATCCAAGGGAAATAAAAGAAGGAAATAAAGATGAATAAGCCAGTGTAGCTGACCAACACTCCTTGATATTTCCAGCTGTTCATAAAGAGGAAGAATGAGGTGCATTCAAGATGAAATGACCTGTGAGTTACTGCTGACAGAGAGTGGGACGTTCACTGCTCACCATGCTCATCCAGAACGACTTTTTGAACCCTTTTCACTGCCATATTTTGAAATGGAAGAATTTCCTCCTCATTATTGTGAAAAGAAATGGTGATTTTTTTCAAAAGAAATTTTAGTAGAAAATGAAACAAGACATAATATGTAGAACAGAAAGACATTCAGGGAAATAGTGTCTAAACACACTTTTTCTTTTCTTAAACCCTAAGAACGAGCATTCTAGTCCCCAGGCTCCTGGCTGAGCCTGTGCCTGGACACTTGGCCTTGGGCTCCCTTCCTTGCCCCATGCGGGCCTCAGGTCCTGACCTCGTCTCCCACCTCCACTTGAGGAGCACGTTCAGGGTAGAGTTACAGCCGACTCCAGGCCCCTTTTCTTTCAGAGGATAGGGGTCAACTTCCTCACAGATGCAGCCCAGTGATGCCATGTGCGGCCCTCTTGTGTATGATATTTTGTTTAACACAGGCTTTCTGAAACACACGGGAGAACCTGGGTGTCTGTGTTGTGGGGTGATGACTTTCCACTTGAGCACTTAGAGAACCCTTTGTCTCACGATGATGGACACTCCTATTTCCTTCCCTTCCCCAACCCTGGGTCACACTAGACCTGTCATTCCTCTTTATATCACTAAGAGCAGGGTAGCGAGTTTGCCAGTTCTTTCCCGCAGGGCTGAAGGAAGGCTGTGTCCTAGCAGCCTTGATTCTGGTAACATAGGGTGTTTCCTTCCTCCTTCCCTTCCTCCCTCGCTCCCTTCCTTCCTCCCTCCCTCCCTCCCTCTCTCCCTTCCTTCCTCTCTCTCCCTCTCTCTCCCTTTCTCTCCCTCCCTCCCTCTCTCTGCCCCTGCCCTCTCTCTTTCTGTCTCTCTCTCTCCCTTCCTCCCTCTCTCCTTCCTTTCCATCATCCTTTCTTCCTTTCTTTCCGTTCTTTGTGGGATTCCTTAAACATTTTATTTGAATCTCATTCATAAATATATTTGAACTTTTAATAATGAAAACCATCATGAAGACTCAAGAGTGCTATGCCAAAACTTTAACACACTGAAACTCATCAACAGGTTGCATACTTCTGACACAATCTCCAGTTTGCTCACGATTTGGAATAAAACTTCAGCTGTACCTAGCACTTATCAGAACCTCCTCTGGCTTAGACTTGGGAGCTCTCAGTGGCCTGCATACGGGAGGTGGAAGGGAGTGGACTGACTGCCATGATCACCTGCACCAGACACACAGACTAGGACCTGGTACCTGGGCCAGAAGCCATGGGCTACTCTTGCCTTCAACATAGGGTATTTTCATAATACAAGGGACTGGGGAACATGAAGAGAAGGGATCTTCAGAAGCCAGCACCCAGGTGTGAGGACGACATCTGAATCCCCACTTTTCAGCAGGCAGAAACTCGATCCTTGAAGATGGATGTGAGTGACAGAAACCACAAATAACAACAGCTGAAATGAGATGCTAGTTTATTTCTTTCATATAAATGAGGGCAGTCCAGTGCTGTTAAGAGAACCTAGGCCCCTTCTAGCTACTCATCTGACTATCCTTATCATGTGGCTTGTACCTGCGGGTTCAAATGTCTATCCAGATCCAGTGATCTTCTCTGTGCTCCAGACAGCATGAAGGCAAAAGAGGGAAGGGGAAAGGCACTCCCCTCTTCCTGTGAGGACACTCCCCAGAAGCAGAATGTGCCACTTCCACTGACGTCCCATAGGAAATAAGTCAGGTACATGCTCTCCTCTCACTGCATGTGGGGCTAGGCTGTGTAGATTTTATCCTAGGCAGTAATATCGCTAGGAGGATGGCCAACTGTCCTGGTTTGCCCTGGAACGAAGTGGTTCCTGAAATGCTGGACTTTGAATTTTAAAACTGGGGCAGTTTCAGACAAACTGGGAAGAGCTGGTCACTCTAGTACCCAGGTAATACTTGCAGATATTATTACTGAGAAAGCAGAAAAGATCATGAGGGTATGCCCAGCATTCTTTGCCATGGGGATACTCTTCAGTTGTCTAGTTGGAAACGAAGGATATGCCTTAAGTTCTGCCCCACAAATGAAGGGCTACTAAAGAGGTGCAAAATGCCCCCAGAGGAACAACCATGAGGATGACATATCTGGTCTTTGCTCCCTCTTGGTTTGCTTTTCTGTATACCTTCCCCTGTTGTCTTTGTTCATCCGTCCATCCAGTCACCTATCCAAGCATCCAATCATTTCCCTTTTCATTCACTTTTTTTTTTTTTTTTTTTTTTTTTTTGAGATGGAGCGTTACTCTGTCACTCAGACTGGAGTGCAGTGGTGCAATCTTGGCTCACTGCAACCTCCGCCTCCTAGGTTCAAGTGATTCTCATGCCTCAGGCTCCTGAGTAGCTGGGACTACAGGCACCCACCACCACGCCTGGCTAATTTTGGGATTTTTAGAAAGATGGGGTTTCACCACATTGGCCAGGCTGGTCTCGAACTCCTGACCTCAAGTAACCTACCCACCTTGGCCTCCCAAAGTGCTGGGATTATAGGCAATAGCCACCATGTCTGGTCACTTTTCATTCTTAAAGTATTTGCTTAGCATCTATAATGTGCTCTGAAGATATTGAGATGAATAACACCACTTAGTTCCTGCCCTCAAGGAACTCACAGTTTAATCCATCCATATTGACAATGAATGATGGTACAGGAGTCTAACTGTAATCGGAGCTTTGTACAGAGTATAATGGAACCCAGTAGAGCAAGCAACTAAATTTGCTTTGCGAGTCAGAGAAAGCCTCATAGAATGGGTGACATATACTGGATCCTGGAGGTTAAGCAGGCATTTTCCAGGTGGAGAAAGAAGCACTATAGGAATGAGGCACCAGAAAGGCAAGACTCAGATGGTATGCAGTGAGCACAGAGGAGAGATGGGCCACTTCTGTAGGGCTGGAATGTGAGGAAAGTGCCAAGGAGAGGGGAGGGGAGGTGGTGGGGAATGAGTAAGGCAGAGAGAAAGGTGTGAAGAGCTTGAAATGTGGTAAAAAATCAAGTTGTGACCAGAGTATGAGCAATCTGGAAGGCCATCCCTTGAGATATTTTCGTGGGCTAACTTCTCAGACAGAGCCTTTCCTATGCTAGAGTGTTATGAGGACCTGCCAGTGTGACGGAGGAAACATCTTCCTTTCCATGTCTAGGGTCAGGTACAGGTGTTCTGTGGCACTCACCTTGGGCAACTCAAGGGCCTTCAGAGGGTGACTCTGAGTACCTGAGGATAGCGTTCCTTTGTGCCCGGAGACATAGCCTCTAATCGGGTTTTTCTTTCTTTAATAATTTATAACGTGTCTCCTTTTATCTATAGAAACATAAAGCTTTTAGAGCTGGCAAGGGCCTTAAAGATCATATAGTCCCAACCCAAATGGAAGGCCCAAGAGGAAATATCACTGAGCTAATCAGGGACAGAGCTGAATCAGAATTCAAGTCTTTGGACGTGAAGATCATAAAGATTTAAGGAATTTTTTTCTTTTTCTTTTTTGATAGGGTCTCGCTCTGTCACCCAGGTTGGAGAGCAATGGCACCATCTTGGCTCACTGCAACCTCCACATCCTAGGCTCAAATAATCCTCCTGCCTCAGCCTCCCAACTAGCTGGGACTACAGGCATGCACCAACATGCCTGAATAATTTTTGTATTTATTATAGAGGCAGGGTTTTGCCATATTTCCAAGGCTGGTCTTGAACTCCTGGACTCAAGCAATCTACCCACCTTGGCCTTCCCAAGTGCTAGGATTACAGATGTAAGCCACCACCCCTGGCCTTAGGAAACTTTTGATATAAAAATAATACCATAGGGCAGTTAGAGTGAGCATACAATAATTTTGTGAAAAGAGCATGATCATTGTAGCAATAATCTGAAATAAAAACATTCTAGCTGGTTGAGAACCAAATTTAATTTAACGTAAATTTAGTTCTGAGCTTCCTGGCAGCCAAGCAAAGACAGCGATATGATGGTTTACATGTTTTATTTTTACCTGACAAAAAATAGCATAGAAATAAGGGATTTAGGTTTTGACTAGGAGCAGATGAAACTGGGCAGCCTTCAGTAATTCACTTCACAAATGTGCAGATCCAACAAAAGGTCCTAGAAATTCAGTCTTCAAGGAGTTCATCGTCGAGTGGAAGATAAACAGTTAAAATCTCGTATGGTAGATTCTATGAAAGAGGGAGGCAAAGGGTGCTGAGGGAGTGTGGAGAGGAGACATACAACCCAGGATGAGAGAGGCGGCTTCCCAGAGGGTCATGATTGATTATGATGTCATTATCCACTGAATCTCGTCCTAAGGGGAAGGGGTCTGTTGGGCAAAGCAAAGCTTGGTAGTGGGGAACTGTGTTCTTAGCGGAGGAGGCACTGCTGTGTGTTCAGAGTCATGAAAAAGCATGGTGGGTCTAGGGAGTTGCATGTGTTTCATATGCTCAGACTAACTGGAGTGATACTCAGGTGGCTGTGTAGAAAGTGGCAAGTGGGAGGCACCCACCAAATAAACGCTGCTCATTAGGACTAGACACCTCATGCCCAACCTTCCTGCCAGAGATGAGCACAGCTTCATTTTCACCTGCAGACCTGTTCCAATGTAAGAAGCTAATGAGCACTTCCCTTTCCTTCAAGGCGAAGGTAAGTACTAATCCAGCTAAATTTCTGTCATTTGGACTTTAGTGAGAACAAAAAGTTGGGGACAGGTTTGGCTGTGGAAGACATGGGCGTGTGACAGGTGGGTAAGAGAGGGAGACCTCTAAAGGAGGCCCGGAAGACAGACTGAAATGCATCTATTGGTGGCATGTGTCTCCATCCACTCCAGAAGTCCTCTGAAATGACACAGGAATGAGCATTACTGTCAATGATGAGTAAATGATCGACTCCTCACAGATTAAATGCATAGCGTATCCAGATGCTTCCCTATAAGCACAGTTAATTAAGAGGGAATGGGGTGTCATATCACCAGGCATAAAGACTGGGCAGGAGATGGGTGTGTGGGTAAAAGGAGGCAGTTAGGTTACAACTTGCCCCTGGTAATGGAGACTGGGGTTGGGGAAGGGGCTACATACCGTGTGTGTGAATTTACCATTTTGCCTAGCTCAACCTTCGTCAACATTCAAGAGTAAACTTTTGGGGAGCAGATCTGCCTTATGGGTCATCCGAAGTGGTCCTGTTTATTATTTCATTGGCTTCACATGATTACCTGAGAGAGAAGAACTTTCTTTACAGATGAGAAAACCAGGGCTGAAAGATGAAGTGGCTCACTGCAGGGCTCAGCAGGGGAAGAAGTCCTGTCTCTCTGACTCTCAGATCTGTGGCTGTTCTCTGTGCCCACTCCTGCATGCCCACCGTGGAGGCCCACCCCTTCTGTCCTCAGCTCCTGCAGATGCACAGGAGCCCTTCCTGGCCCCCACTGTGTGTGCCTTCCTGCCTGCTCACACGTGCCACCCAGACCCTGGGAGAAAGACCTCACTGCCAACTCTTCTGCACTGCAGATGCCTTCTGCAGTGCTTAGAGATTCTGAACATATTTCCTTCTCAAGTAAACCATGCTGGACTTTTTGGATAAACTTAGTGATTTAAAAATGATTAAATAGCTAACTGCTGGGAGAGATCTGGGAGCATTCTTCTAAGGTGTTGATAAAGTGTAAATATATTTTTGGAACAATCTTAGATCTTATGCTAAAGATGATGAACCATGTAAGAAAATTACCTTCTTCAGTTGCTTGTAAATAGCAGTGTAAACCAATGCTTTGGATCCTTTTCCACAGGCGAGGAGGCAAGACTGCAGGAAGCAAAGAACCATGGAATTAGGGACAAATGGCTCAAAACAGTGCCCTGCAGACACATACATCTGTACTTTGCTTTCCAGAAGTCAAATGAAACTGTTGGAGCTTGGTGGGCTCCAGGTCTCAAGGGGAAGACCACCTTAGGCTTTAGCTTTTCCTCTGCCCTTCCTGCCTGCTGTTAGCCTTTCCTCTGGACCAACACCCCCTTTAAGGGGAAAACCTCTTTGAAGCCCACAAGATACTGTGAGGATTATTCCCTTTTTCTGATTTCCAACGTGGGTTTTTCATTAAGCAAAGAACAATTAGAAAACCCACAGATAACATAGGGTATTCAGTAAGTTCAGGAAAGTGTTTTCTACCACCTCTTTACCCCCATTCCCTCCCCAGCGCTTGGCTCAAGGCCTGGAGCTTGAATCTGCGTCGTCTCCCTAGGTGCTTGCCTGAGGTGAGTGGTCAGCGGGTGCTGGCTTGGAGGCAGCTGGCAGGGCGCATGCTGCGGGTGGGAACCCAGGGAACACTGGGCGCCTTAGCTTGGAGCAGCTGGCTCCAAGGAATTATTGCACGTCTGCACAACTTAAAAATCTGCAGTTTGGGGGCGGGAGGGGGAGCGCGGGGGTGGGTCCCGAAGCGTCCCATTTCTGCTGGCTGTTGATTGAGCGCTCTGGCTCAGTGCAGCGAGGCCAGCGATGCCTTCTGGACCACACGCTGTCCTCGCCGAGGTCGTGGTTTGTTTCTCAACGTCGGCTGAAGGCAACGTCCCCTGACTCCCTCTTCCATTCGTCCTTCGGAAAGGGGACCCGACTGGTTCCTCTTCTACAAATGAGGCGCATCTGCTTGGTGCAAATGTCCAGGCACTTCTGACTCGGTGAATCGAGGAATGAGACAGAGCATCTTGTTCTGCACTGTGCGTGAGTCTTCAGGCAGCGGGACCGGTAGCAAACATTGGCAGGAACTGGAGCTGTATGTATTCTCCCTCGCACTTTGTTTTAAAACAAGTTTGGGCCTCGCGACTTCCTGAGGAAATCCAGGCAAATTAGCAAAGTGTCGCTGGGGCCGCGACTTTAGAGAGGCGGTTGCCCCAACCGCCGGGGCCGCGGGGGAGGTCATCTTTTTCCAGCGCTTGGGGCCCAGGAGGGAGCGCAGGTGGGAGGTGCGGGGCGCGCTCCTGCTCCCAGCCGGACAGCGCCGGCCACTCCGGGGTGACTCTGCACTTGGGCATGGGCGGGGGCGCGCTGCCTGCAGGGCAGTGTCTCTCGGTCCATCAGTCTGTCCGCCTGTCTAGCGGTCGGAGCCCCGCGGTCCTCAGCCGCCCGCGCCCTCGGCCCGGGGCGCTCGGCTGCAAGCCCGAAGCGAGGGGCTGGCGGAGCTGCGACCAATGGGGCGGCGGCCGAGCGGCGGGCCCCGCCCCGCCCCGCCCGCAGCTCCCGGGAGCCTTGCTCCAGCTGGGCGGGACCGACGGACAGACCGGCCGACGCGGGCCGCCGGGCTCTCCTCGCCGCCGCGGCGGCAGGCGCGGGGCTGCGCCGCGAGGCCTGATCCCTGCAGCGCTGGCGGACGGCGTCGCAGAGCGGAGCGAGCCGGATGCGCCCGGACTCCTGCAGGTACCTGGCTGGCGTCCCCACCTCACTGCGCGCTCCGGGGACTTCTCCCGGCGACCCTGCAACTTTACCGCGCCTTCCCCCACCTTTTGCTGCCACAGTCCCCTGTGGTCCAGGTCGCGGGTGCACGACCCCGAGGGTCTACGGCCGCAGGGCACTTTCTGTGCTGCTGGGCGCCTGGCTTGCGGCGTCCGCATGCTCTGGTGCCGAGAGCCCGCCGTCGCTGGAGCCCCAAGGCTCCGCCTGTTGCGTGAGCTGCGGGCTGCTGAACTGGTGTCTGGGTTCCTTTGAAAGCCTCGGGGAAGGTATTTAGGATCAGCTTTCGGGGAGTGGGGTGGGCTATGGCCATGGGGGAGGACCAGCTGGAGGCGGGAGAATCAATGAGCCGGAGAAAGGCGGCACCTCGCGCAGGGGTATCCCCGGGGCGTTTCCTTGGCCGGGAAGCCGTTCCTGCCCTTCCTCGAGAGGAGGCGCTTTCCTGGCGCTTGTAAATGCTTCCCGGGCCGTCTGCTCCGCCTTCTTTGTCGTTCCTCCCCTCCCCTTTGCCCTGCAGCTGTGCTAGGCGCCCCGCGACAGTTGCAGGGAAGAGTGAACCCAGGGTCCTTGCTCTTGTGCAGCCCTGCGCCCTGGGTTGGGGATGGCGTGGGGCTTGCAGCACAGGTGTGGAGTCACTTGCGGACTCCGCGTTTGGATCAGTGGCAGTGGTAGGGATGGGTGCCCCGGGGTCAGGAACTCCTCTTTTCCGCGCCCTTCTGGGTGGCTGCCCGACCTCCTGAGGCACCTTGGCTAGCAAGCGAGCCAGTCTTGCCGGCAGGGGCTGCGGCGAGCCTGGCTGGGCGCCTTTCGCATTGCAGGGCTTGTCCTGCACCCCCCACCCCGCTCTGTCCCTTCTCGTTCATTTGGAGAAAGGAGCACCTTTTGCATCCTTGATGTCTTCCTCCGGTTTTTTCTGGGGAGACCGAGCCGAAAGCTTCACTCGGGTGGCCCGCGGCAGGGGCCGAGGACAGCAAAGAGCTACCTCCACCTGCCAAAATGACCCAGGGGCCCTGGTTTGGTGCCAAGGCGCGAAGTTGGGGGAGGGGCGGTAGGTGTTCCTTACGTTCCTCCTGGAGAGTAGCTTTGCGGTTGGCCCGGAGCCTTCGGGTTTTTTGTCTTTCACCGTACCCTCTGAAAATACTGGGGCAGAGGAGGAAAACCAGTTCAGAAGCCTTTCCTGTTTCTTTCCCTGTATTTGCTCAAGCGATTTGCATAACCATTCACTTAGAACTGTGTAAGTCACTCCTAGTTGCCCCCCTTCTTAGACTATTTGCAAATATCTGCCCAGGTAAACAGGAAGCACGCACCTGTCTCCTTGCTGAAGGCATATGCTCTCATGCTTTGTCCTCCCTGCATATCTGGAGCCGAAGAGGTGGCTTTGATTCTCTATCTGAACTTGGTGTAATGTGTAGACTCCACTTCTTACCTGGGTTGTGACCTTCTTGAGGAGATTGACTCGTTCAGTATGCATTTCCAATCAGCCTGCCATGGGCCAGGCCCCAGGATGCACTCGAGGACAGACAGCAAATGGATGATATGATTTCTGCACCCAGTCTAGTCTGTTCTTTCTTTCTCACCAGCTTCCCTTCTTCTCTTGTTCTAATATTATGTTTGTCATTTCCGAACTAGGAATTGTCAATATTGGGATACGGAGAAGGTTATATGGAAGTGCCATAGAGGCCAAAGCATGTTGTGAATATACTAAGGAGACTTGTGGGATCTGTTTTAATTTAATCTTTTGTCTGAGCCATTATTGCCTGAATAGAGCCATTGATGAATGCAGCTACGCTAAGGTTTTGCTGGTCAAGCGTATGAGGGCAAATTGGGAGGTCAGAATCAGTCTTTGTTCTGTTCTGAAATATTATTAAAACCCCAAAGCTCTGGAGCTTGAGTTTGCCAGCAAAGCACCAACAGTATCATCGTCTTCTTTTAAGAAGGAAGGGGAAGAGTGGGAACTGCAGCTCCCTCCTGTCTTCAGTGGGTTTTGCCCTTCACTGTAATTCTTCACAGACGTGCATCCCTCTGTTCTACCACCCATCTCAATCTGCCCTGTGTCTGGCATTTGCTGTTGGAATGTGTGTCAGCTTTGAGACAGTAGGCACCACAGGGTTTTGCTCCTTCTTTTCCTTCTTCTGTTTTTTAGTAGATAACATTTATTGGCTGCATACTATATATCAGATACTCTGCTAGGCACTTTTCCAGGCATTATCTCATTTAATTCTCATAAGAACTGCATGAGGATGTGATGCTTGCTTTCTTCACTGCAGTATTGCTGTGGGAGCCAGCAGTAGATGGAACCCCCCCAGGTGCATGTTGAGTCAGATAGGAGGCCAATGGGAAATGGCGGGCCTGAAGTCTCACTAGCAGGAAGATTGGCTCTGCAGGTTAGGTTGAAGCAGAGGAGAAGGTGGGTGTGTTTACTGACTCTGTTTATCAGGTGTCAGGAAAGTGGATCTTCCAGAGTGCCACCTGTGTGAAATACCCACAAAGAAACATCATAGAGAAGAGAATAGGATGTGGGGACCTGGTTTCCAGCTCTGATATGTATTTCTTTAAGGCTCCTTGACTTGATATGTCATTTTGCTAATCTGGGTCTTGGTCTGTTTAGCTACATTGATCTAGATCTCTAATATTTATTGTTACCCTGTACTAGGCACTAAAAGCTGAAAACTTTTACATGTATTAACTCGTTTCATCCTGATGACAATCTTAGGATGATAGGTTCTATTATTACCCTATTTTAGAGGAGGAGAGAGAGACAAACTGAGAAACTTGTACAAGGTCACCCAGCCTGGAAAAGGTGAAGCTAGGATTCTATCTCTGGCAGTCTGACTGCAGAGCCATTGTGAGATTCAGTCTTCCTCATTTATTGCTACAGTTCCAACACTGTACCCTGTGCTTAGTGGGATCTCGGACTGCGTTTGTTGCACAGTGACAGAGGGGGCTTGCAGTTATCAAGTGACTTTTGGGTCCCATGTCTCAGCCTTAAAAGGAACCTTAAAGACTGCATTAGCAAAATATTATTTTTGCCTTTGACAAAATAGTCTGCTTTTCAGTGAAATTCTGCCCAGCTGGTTAGGAAAAAAGGAAGATAAACCATAAAGATCATGGGCCAGGGAAACATTATGGTGATTTTCAGAAAATATGTTGATCAATGTAAGAAATTCAGAAAAATCACAGAACACTTTGCACTATGACTCACTTTTGTCAGGTAAATCAACCAGTGACCAATTCACAAGTACTTATTGTATAGGTGCTAAGTGCCCAGTACCACAGGCAACGAAGGTAGGTAGAATCTATGACGTGGTCTTTGAGCTTGAACTTGTAGTGGATCTGGAGACTCCAGATCAATGAGACAAGATAGCACAATACAAGATACTAAATACTGAAGTCCTGATAAAAATCACAATGACTCGGTCACATTTGTACAACATATTGTGGTTTGTAGGAACTTTCATGTCCTCAGAGCAACTGAGAGTTATAAGCTGTAGGCAGGATGGAAGTTAGGAAGCCCATATTGCTGATGAAGAAATTAAGGCAAAGTGAGCCTTGAACTTGGACACAGTCAGGGGTCATCTGACTTGAAGTCCAGCATCTTTCTGCCTTTCTTCTGTCTGGAGCTAGGGAGCAGAACAGGAGGACAGCGAGTTATCCAGAGTCCTTGGGGAGTGGGGGACTGAGTTTGAATTTCATCCTGGACCTGGCCTTTGCTTGCCGGTCTGGACTACCCTGGGTGCTTAGTGGAGGCAGGGGATGGGGAGTAAGTACAAGCTGGGGAGGAGGAGAAAGAGGAGAGTGTTGTTTTATTTTTTCAGGGGCCTGCTGTTTGGTGAAGCCTGGAGTGAATACTCAATTATCATGAACATAATAACAAGGCTTAAAATGTACAATAAAGTGTAGAAGCTGGTTTAGAATTTTCATCCCTGTTTTTCTTTATCATTTCTCTAGATCATCTTTTGAAACTTTTTAGCATACCTGCACATTATACTTTTTTTCACAGTTGTTAAGAGGATCAAAATCTGCACATTACAAAAGTAAACTCTTTAATAAGCTAAAAATAGTTACTAGACTAGGTTGTGGTATTTTTCTTGTGGGCAAGAGGTCTCATTCTCTTTGGAATCCTGCACAGCCTTGCACTATGATTTGCTTTGAGGAGATACTGTATAAATATTGTTTTCAGTTGCACAAGTATCGAATGATAGAGGCATAAGGGTCTGGAGACTCCAGATCCTTTTAGCCAATAATGTTACAGGTAAGCAGTTAATGTTGGCAGCAGCCAGCTTCAGTGAGTTTGGTGAAGTCCCAAATGAATGAAGTATCTTGCTGACTGTCCTACCAATCAGTCATCCGAGCACTTACCAGATGCTCACCAAAGGTGACATAATGATTAACTTACATAGTCACATATATATATTCTCATTATATATTCAAATCTGTACATACATTCATTCAACAAGTATTTGAGTACTTACATGATGTTATGTACTATGCTAGGTGCGGGGTATACTGTGGTAAAGGAAATGGGGGTGGGGTGGGGTGGGGTGAGAAGTGGGAGGAGACAGGCATTAAACAAACCAATGCAAAATTTCGGTGGTGGTAAGTGCTCTAAAGGACTTCATGGGAGAGAGTAACAAGGGTAGGGAGTCACTAGTTTAGATGAGAGGGTCAGGAAAGACCTTTCTAAAGAGGAGACATTTCATTGTGAGTGATGAAAGGAGTCCATTAAGTGAAGAGTGGGAGAAAGAGAATTCCAGGCTGAGGATTCTAAGGCAGGAATGAGCACTGAACCTCTTTTTGTTCTATTCAGGAACTTCAGGAGAACAAGGGTGGGGACAGCTGGGAGGAAGTTGTAGAAGAGGGCCGGCCGGGGTCAGATCAAGCTGTGCCCTTTAGGTCAAGTTCAAGGTCTTATGGTTTATTCTGAGGGCTGTGAAAAATGGATTTGCAGAAGGTGAGTGTCACGAGCCAATTTAAATTTATACAAGATTGCCTGGGAAGGCTGTGAAGAATAGATAGAAGAATAGACTGGAGAGGTGCAAGCATGGGAAGCAGAAGCCTCTTTTGGAGGTGTGTTGCAGAAGTGGGACCTAAAGTGAGATTGGACTGGCTTGAAAGGTGAATGGAGGTGAGGAAGTGCAGACCATACACATATAGCGTGGTTGTGAAAGGGAGCAGAGACACAGGATGGGTGTGGGGGCAGGTTTGTGTCTATGTGGAAGGCAACCTTTTCTGAGGTTAGGGATGTGAGTCCAGCTCCTTGGTAAATTAACACATATATACCTCTGTGTGTAGTTACATAGCACTTCTAGAAGATTAGACATTTGAATCCTATCTCTGGCTCTATCTCAAAATCTAGGTAACTTTAAGCATATCACTTTGAGTACTTCTAGAAGATTAGATATTTGAATCCTAGCTTTGGTTCTGTCCCCAAATCTGGGTAACTGAGCATATCACTTGTCCTTCCCTGTTTTTTTTTTTTTTTTTTTTTCTTACTGCCTGGTGATTTTATAATTTCTTTTAAAAATGCAATCTTCCTGCAATAGTCTTTAATAACATTATTTATATGTGTTAATTTGGATTATTTTTTATAAATTGAATTAGCAGAATGATGAATGGGGATGTAGGAACATTTGTGGTGGGATTCTAAGCATTTGCTCACTGTTGATCATGGATAAGCTGCTTTCAAATTAGCTTAAATGAAGAGACACTAATAATAAAGTCTGGAGACAGTTTACTGTGAGGAGACAGTAACCCTTCCAATGTAGATGGGATAAGGACTGATGGAGAGCCCTGGGCATGGTTATGAGCCACTTTTTGTGTTTCAGTGGGACTCCCCTCCTTACCTGGTCTTCTTCATTGCATGAGACACTTCCTCTGGATGCATGGATATCTGTTAAAAAGATAAGAGAGGTAAATCTGGTCTGTTTTCTGAGAACCCATTTGTGTTAGGGTTTTCTAGACAAGCAGAACAAATAGGATGTGCATATGTTAGAAAGAGATTTATCATAAGAAATTGGTTCACACAATTATGGAGACTGGCAAGTCCAAAATTTGCAGGATGGGCCAGCAGGCTGGAAACCCAGGAGAGCCAACACTCCATTTCAAGTTTGGAGGCAGTTGCTATACAGCCTGGAAGAGCTGATGTTACAATGAAGTCCGAAGGCAGGCTGCTGGAAAATTCTTTGCTGTTTGAGGGAGGCCAGACTTTTTGTTCTGTTCAGGCTTTCAGCTGATTTGATGAAGCCCACCAGCATTATAGAAGGCAATCTGCTTTACTCAAAGCCTACCAATTTATATGCCAGTGTCTTCCAAAATACCCTCAGAGAAACACTCAGAATAATGTTTGACCAAATATCTGGGCACCCTGTGACCCAGCCAAGTTAACACATAAAATTAACCATCACATCACATTTAACAGAATATACTGGCCTAAACATCAAAAATGGCCATCACAGATAGCCTGATGGGGCATTGAAGAAGGATAGGGTATCCAGTGATGAATTTCTAGTTGTAGGGAATGAGAGTATAAATAGGACCATTGAACAGAAAGTTACTCCAAAGATCAGTCAAGTCATTTGCTGCCTCTGAACTTTAGGAATGCTGGCTTAAATCCTGGCAAATAATTAGTGTATTGAGACAAAAGAATGCCAGCAGACTAAATTTGGGGCTTCAACATGCTTATATATTTTTTACTTTTATTCCGCTATGGACTGGACTGGCTTTCCTAAGCCCTGATGGACATGCCATGGTGAACTGAAAAGCATTTCCTATGATTTACTTGAGATAAAAATGTAATTGGCCAAAGAGATGGGAGAACTTCATGGTTAAAGACTGTT